TTGTCCAAGTCCACCAGCCTCCAGGTCCCTTCCTCCATGAAGTCTCCCTGGACTGCCAGACCTTTAGAGCTGGGCAGCAGTGTTGTGACTCAGGATCAGGAGCACAGACATTGAGCTGGACTGTCTGGGTTTGTATCCTGTTTACCCCGTGGCCTTAAGCAAGTTACTTCATTGTTGTAGCCCTTTGTTTTCTGCTCTGTCACTGCAGGTGTAATGACAACCTCAGGGTTAGTGCGGGAATCCACTGAGAGAATACCTGCAGAGTTTAGGACATCCCAGCACTTACCGGGCTCAGGATCAGCTGCTGCTGTTATTATTCCTGGTATTGTTGTTATTGTTAGTACTCTGCAGTCCAGCAGTTTGTCATTGTGGACTGTTCAGCCTTGTCATCCTGGCAGACAGCTTTCCTTATGGGTAACCCAAGGACTGAGGACGGCGGGGTTGGAAGGTCTGCTTTGACTGCAGAAGCAGCAGCTGACATTTGGTGCAGTGGCGGGCCCAGGTGCTGTATCACGGCCTTTTCACATTAACTCAGTTGATGCTCTGTGAGGTTAGTACTCCTCTTGTCCCGTTTTACAGACGTGCAGGTGGAGGCGGTGAGAGGCTGAGGGTACACAGCCACAAAGGGGCAGAGTTGGGAGTTGAACCCAGGCCGACTGGTACGGTCAGCGTTCTAGTCCCTGCTCCTTCGGGTTTGCAGGTGGGCCCCAGGCTCAGAGAGGGGCAGGGCCTTCCATAGACTCCCAGCAGGCAAGTCGCCTCCAGAGCCCCTAGCTTCTCTTCTGTCTCTTAAGCCCAGCCCAGTGTCGGACTTGCAGGGCTCAGCCGTGTTCTAGGACACGTGGGCATGAGAGTGACTGGTTGCCCTTGGCCGTCCATGGGTGGTCAGCTCTGAGCCGGAGGGAGGGTTCTGGGCTGGGACAGCTGGCCTGGTGGTGATCCTCCCCGCCCTGTCGCAGAGCCCCAGGGAAGAGCGGCTTGCCTCTCCCTCCTTCCCTGGTGCTGGGGGAGGTGCGTGTCCTCCCAGAGCCCAGAGCTGTGTTGCTCGATGCCTCAGGCTGGAGCTCTGAGAGGACTCTGCGTGCTGCTGGAGGCTGGAGCAAGCCCCTTTGGTGTCTTGGTTTCATGGGGAGGAAGCGGGAGTCACCGAGGCCTTTACAAGCCCCAGGTGAATGGAGGGGTGTGTTCTGGGTGGGAGGGGGGCACAGGCCCCAGAGGGGGCCTTGGAGGGCTGGGCGTTCTGTTACCGCTTGGGTGATTTTACTGGAAGTTCTTTTGATGTGGTCTCTGTGACCCAGTGGGGCTGAGTCACAGAGTAAATACAATTAGCATTGTGGCCTCTGGGGAAGGACGCAGACAATGCTTGTGGCCCAGGCCAGTCCCCGTCTGCCAGCTCTCTCCCAGGGCTTCTGCCTGGCTCCCACGCGCATCCCTGCCTGCTGACTCGGGTCAGCCTGCGTTCAGTCCCCCTGTGGCCCTCACTCCTTGCAGGCGTGTTAGAAATGCAGAGTCTCAGGCCCCACCCCAGGGCTCCCCAACCGGAGCCTGCACCTTGACCATTCCCCAGGTAATTGCTGTGCGGGGAACCCCTTGTATCATCACTCTGCTCCATGAGGCCATGAAAACCTGGCTCCCGCTCTGCTCTTCTCTGGAACTCGTTCACAGTCACACGACTTTCTCCGGGCCCTCTCAGGACCTCTGCGCAGGCTTGTCTGAGTTTGCGGCGACTGTCCTGAGGGTCGGTGCCTTGGTGCTCTGTGGGGGTGGAGGGGGAGGCGGCAGTGGTGTGGGAAGCTGGCCCCCATCCATCCAGACCTCTGTGAGAGGTGGAGCGTGTGCCTTCGGATTGGGGGTGGGGGGGCGGAGGGTGCAGGTGCCTTAAAGGGAACTCGTACTTGCTCACAGGGCCAAGGGCGAGGGGCTCTGCGGGGCAGCGGAGCGTGCCCAGTGAGATGGGATCCCTGTCGGCCTCCAGATTGGATTGTGAAATCCCGGGGGTAGATGACGTCCGTCTCACCCCTCGGAAGCCATCGCTTAGCAAGGACACCGTGTGACTTTGGAGGAAAGTGACTCCTTTTGCCTTTTCCCGACAGTCCTGACCACACAGGCTTTTAAAGACAACAATAGCCGCAGAGACAAAGCATGACCAAGACAGTGTCGTCTTCGGACCTTCCCCCCTCCCCCGAATGACGTCTAAGGCCCTGGGAACATTGTAGAAACTGGGCCTTGTCCAATTTTCATCGTCCCCTGGCAGCCCCAGCACTGGCTCCCAGGAGCCCTGCCAGCCAGCTCGGGGGAGGTAATGCCTGGAGATGCAGATAAAGATGTCGTGCCGCCCCCGGGTCAGGCCCCAGAGCCCCATCAGGTCAGGACAGAGTGGGCAGGGAAGAGGAACAGAGTGTGTTCGTTGGCCAGTTGACTCCTCCCAGCCAGGGGGGAAGGTGGGAGGAGAGAGAGAAGGGTGTCTGCCAAGTTTAATTAACAGTGGAAACTGGCCACAGGGGAGGAGAGAGACAATCTGCAGGGGAGGGGCGGTTTACTGGAAGATGGGCTGCTGCTGATGCCAATAATGAGAAAGAGGCACTGCGTTCTGCAGGGAGCATCACCAGAGCGCAGCCTGTGGTGTCGTAAGTGGGGCTGGGCTGAGCTCAGATCTCAGAGGTGTGAGCAGGACAGTGTAGCTGTGCCTGCTTTATCTGAGTAGATGTCTTTTGAAAACAGTCCACCAACACACCAGCCGGTTTGGTATATTACTCCCTAACCCCTTCAACTGCCCGCCTCCTCATAACAGCAGCAAAAAATAACTAAAAAAATAGCAGTTGAGTTTAGCAGATAGGCATGCTGTTGTATTCTGGTTTTTTAAAGATACACACAGATTGGCTGCTTTGCACCTGACTTTAGTTCATAGATCTTTATGTCATGCTTGATGTGTATGATAGGTGAAGAGGAATGCTTTGAGAAGTCTGTGATGCTCATTGTTGAGACAGAAATGAATCGTGTGGGTTGAATTTGAAATGCAGGATATAGCTCACTGAACACTGCTTAGATATTTTTTAGTAGGATCGATAGAGGACTTGCTGGGCTGCTGGGGGTTTTCTGGTTCCATCTCCCTTCAGAGGATGTGCAGAGCCCACCTGTGATATCCCTGCAAGGTGGGCATGGAGTGAATGCCTGTGTCGTGAGAGTCCCCAGCACCTGGGTCTTCTCGGACCGAGGCAGCACTGACCGTTATGCTACCCTGCCCTGCATCCAGTAGCTGTTTCAGAGGTGCTGTTGGAGGCCAGCTGAACAAGTTGAATCCCTTTGGGCGGTCTTTTCCACTTCCTGAGCAAGCCTCTTCCATCCATGCTATGCACCCAGAGGTTTTCCAGAGATTCTCAGAAAATGTGATAATGAGGCCACTGGCCATTCCAGGCCACTGTTGCACTGCTTGCCATTAGAAGTCCCTTTTTTCTAATTTTCTTTTTTTTCCCCTCTCTCCTTTCATCTCTCTCTGGTGGGCACACCTGCTGTTAATAGCTCCCCAGCATGCTGTCTATTCTGCCAGGGCTGTTCGTTGCCCTGCCCTCTGTGTGTGGTCTTCATCTTTCCCCCTCCACATCTTCCCCATCCTTTTAGGGTCTCCCCTGTCCCCTGGTACACACGTTCCTCCCCTCATCCATGAGTTTCCTTGCTCTTCTCCTTCTCCCCTGCTCACTCCATGTGTTTATCCCTTTTCTTTCTCGTCTGAGGGTGTGCAGGTATAGAGTAGCTAGTCAATAGTTGAGATGGGAGAGAACCTCTTAGATTTGACCCTGCATTTTTGATCCTGGAGTCCAAGGTCTCATTAATTCTTGGTTGCTTTCTGACACCAAAGCCCTAAGGCTCATTCAAAGGCTTTATTGCAAAAATCTCATCTCTGGCTCACCCACTTTGCCTGGTACACACATGCCTTCATTGTGTAGTTCTTTTGGTTCCAAGAACAAAACATTGCATTCTTCCCATTGTCTTGTTTTATTTGACCCACCATCTCTGCATGTTGTGCTTTTTTCAACTCCCATTCAATCTCTGTCCATTCGCCCACCCTCTTGCTTTTGTGTCATCTGTAGTCTTGGTAAGCAAAGCACACCTTTGTTTCTGTTCATGATGGGAAACGTTATCTCTGAAATGCGTCAGGGGAAAGGACCTTCTGAGCAGTCTGGTTGAACCCCTTCATGTTACAAACTTGAGAAACAGAGATCCAGAAAACCGAGGCCACTGGCCAGCCACTCACATGTGGGTGAGAGCTGGGCTCAGGCCTGGATTTCTTGACCCAGAGGTTTTTCCTGAGGCCAGACAGGTAGCATCCTGGCTTTGAAGATATTTAAATTCAAAACAAACCCTGGTGGTTATGTGTCAACCTCCCTGCCCGCCCCCCCCCCCCCCCCCCCCCCCCCCCGCCAAGCTTGTTATCCTCCAGCTTTGGTGACTGTGTAATTGCTCATAATTTTATGAGTAACTTTTAATAAGGGGGCAGCCACTGACTAGATTATTAAGGACTGAGCTTGAATACAGTTAGAACCTAAGAGCAGAACAGTCTGGCATGAAGAACAAGTCTGGCATGAAGATGCTTACTTAGGCTCTGTTACTCTCTGTATGGAAGCCAGAATCACCCTGATACAAACCTGTAGGAAATCCCCAGGCCCCTTGTCACTCTGGGTGTGTGACTCCCTTGCTAAGTAAGCCTTTCCCCAGATGGCCTGATAAGAAGCCAGCTGACTAACTCTAAGCTGCCCTCTGCCCGTGCAGAGATCAGTCAGAAGATGGCCAAAAGTGAGGTGGAAACTGAACAAAAACACCGCAGACGAGACCCTGTCGACCACGTCTCCCCGGCCCGGCCCGTGATTCTGATATCTAGTGCTGGCGCGGTGCTGGCTCTCAGCCTGGCGCTCCCTGAAGTCAGTCGGTCTGACCGTGGTTTCGGGCGTAGACCAGAGAGCCCTTTGGGGTGGGTAACAAATGGCCTCTCTTTCTGCCTGCAGGCTCCACCTACAGCGTCTTGTCCATCATGCCCTCAGACTCGGAGAGCAGCAGCTCACTCAGCAGCGTGGGTGAGTACCTCCTCCCCGGAGGACCTCGGGGAGGCGGGGGGCTCGGGGCGCGCCGGGGCAGCGGGGTGCGTGGTGGGAAGTTGGCCCTCGCCTGTCACCTCCCTCTGCAGTCTCTCTTCGCCCTCTTACTGGAGGAGGGCGGAACTCTGCTGTTGGCAGGGGCGTGCGTGCTGGGGAGGCACCCCGTCACCGCTTCTCCACTCTGTCCGGGCCCAGGACCTCGCAGAGAGCCTGTGGTCCCCTGCCCGTAGCGCCCGGTGCCCGCCGTCCAGGAGGCCAGCCCCTTTGGGAACTGTCCTTTGTGAGCAGGAACAGCCCAGGGGAGTGACTGTGAGTGTTGCCTTGAGGGCAGGAGTCGCCAGTTCATGCTGAATCGGGTGTGTGTTTCTGCATGTGGGTTCCAGAAGCCATAGAGCGAGGCTGTCCCTGCTGTCATTGGAGATGTCTCTGGGGAGGAAAGTTGTCAGTCTTCCAGTCTTCCCGCATCTCCGTGACCTGTCCCCTGTGTCCCACCTGTCCTGCGTGTAACACCCTACTGTGGCTCTGTGTCCTGGTCTGAGCTTGACACCTTCGGTGGTGAGTCCTGGAGATTTTGAGTCGGAAGGCCTCACAGATGTCATCTGGTCCAATTCTTTCCTTTTCCTGCAATAGACAGATGGGGAAATGGAGACTCAAGGGGATGCCTTGTGTCTGAGATTCTGGAACTAGCTGGGGAAAGGCCTCTTGTGAGTTAGACTGATCCAGAGCACCTTCTGGGTGGCAAAAGTGGGCTTGTGATGAAGTGGTGAGTAGCCAGATGTAGTCCTTGTGCTCATGGATCTTAGGATCTACTGGGGCAATAGTCAGGTGAGTAGACACAGTAAGTAAGGTCAGAGTGATGAGAGGGGTACCAGAGGGAAGATTGTATTCATTTTCTAGGGCTGTCCTAGCAAAGCACCATAAACTGGGTGGCTTACACTATAGAAATTTATTCTGTCCAAATTCTGGAGGCCAGAGTCTGAGATCAAGATGTCGGCAAGGCCACGTGCCCTCGAGGACACCAGGAACAGGTCTTTTCCAGGCTTCTTTCCTTCTGGTGGCGTGTTGGTAATCCCAGATCATCCTTGGCTTGTAGATGCATCACTCTAGTCTCTGAGTGCATCTTCACATGGTGTTCTCTCTCTGTATGTGTCTCTAAATTTCCTTTTAAAAACAGGACACCATTCACACTAATTTTGGGACCTGCCCTACTCTAGTATGATCATTTGTAAGGAACATATTTCCTAATAAGATCACATTCACGTTTACTGGGAATGAGGACTTTAGCATCCATCTGTGGGGCAAAGTTCAGCCCCTCAGAGGTCCCTGCATCCTCCTTAGGGTTCAGGGAGGACTCTGCTGGGACCATAGTTCACTTTGCCCTGCCCGCTTTTGGTCGGTGAGATACAGCGACTGAGTGGTGGAGTTGTGGGGATTTTGAACATGGGACTGGCTTTCAGGAAGGGTGTGATGGGGCAGTCAGATTGAGTGTAAGATGGGTTTTTGTAAAACTGAGCAGGTTGAGCTCTGAGCGCACCTCTCTTGCCCCACCCTTTTCCAGCTCTGTATTTCCCTTGGGAACAAGGTACAGTGGTCTAACTGGCATCTGACAAACCCATTCACATCGACACTTCAAAGCTTGAAGTGTTGCCTTTCCTAGGAGCATTTGCATTTTAAAAGGAGATTCTAGAGAGATTGCTTAAACCACAGCAGTTATTGTTAATGGTGGAATTTCAGGCATGAGTAGGAAGTTAATTTTTTTGTGGCTGGACCTTTGTATACTTTGGAAGAAGCGTCATGTCAATGACCCACCAGTGGGCTCTTGGGATGGAGGGGTCACCAGTGTCCCTGGATATGTTTTGGCAGGCCGGCAGAGATTAGTGTTGTGTTGTACTTCACTGTCTGTACCCAGATCTTGGATGCTCAAGATCTGCATGCATCCCTTCAGGTCAAAACCTCTCCAGTTCCCCAGTAGCCAAGTTCTCCTCCTCTGGCTTTTCTGCATAGAGTCAACACTGACCTTGGGGTGAGTAGCTCCATTTCTCTGCAGGCTGACCTCAGTGTCCCCATGGCTGTGTTGGCCAGAAGGCTTTTGGCTGCAGCAGTACGAAATACCTATTCATACTGCCTTAAACGAGAGAAATGTGTGATCTTGCGTGGTAAAGGCGCTGAGGGTGGGCTAAGTACATCAAGTGTGACTTGGTGGGCCTCTGTGTGGTGTCTTCCCTCACGCTGATGGCAGGGGCAGCTGTCACATCTGGATCTGACAGCGTCCAGGGCTACAGTGCTCATTGTGGGAACTGCAAGTCACATGTGGCTATTTAAATTCCGGTGAATTAATGTGAAATGAAATTTAAATCGCTAGTTTCAATAGTCACACTAGCCACATTGCAAGTGTTCTATAGCACCTGTGGCTAGAGGCTACTGTAGTAGACAGAGCAGATAAAAGAACGTCCCTATCATCACTAGTGGCCCGGAGGATGAAGAAGGTCATCTCCTCTCATGTCTCCTGATGAGTAAAGAAGCCTTTCCCAGAAGGTCTTCAGCATAGTCCCCAGTCCCTGTTTCTTGCGTGCCCAAACCACCTCTCGGGCAGTGTGGTCCTTGGGCCAGCAGCACCCAGATAGGTGATGGAAATGCAGGTTCTTGGGCTTCAAAAGCTCTGAGGATGGGTCTCAACATCCACTTTTAACAGCCCTCTTGTTTGGAGATGAGCTGACCTAACCTGGTCCCAGGCAAGGGCACTGGAATGTCTGTGGCCAGCTTGGACCAGTCCCTTGGAATGGAATGAATGGAGGGTCAGCCATGGCCCACTGCAGCACCTTCAAGAGGAATTCCTCCTGGCTCAGCTGCATCTAGTGATGGGCAGAGCACTTCCTTTCCTAGCCGTCTCAGGCGCACCATGGTCCTGGCTGAGGGGCTGATGAGTCAGATGGAGACTGGCTGTTTTTGTTTGTTATGGTCTTTCTCCATGAACTTAAGGAAAGGTAAGGTCTTATAATAAAAATATCACTTTCACTTTCCCACTTATATCTCCATAGCCAAGAATGTTTGGAAAAGAGCAAGTTATACGCAGCTAAGAGAAAATTGGTAGGTGGAACCTTGGGTATAGCATTTTCTCTGTAACAGCTGGTACCTGGCTGTCCCTCACCTCTTCCCAGCTCTTGTTAGGTCCTCAGGTAGTCTGTCCATCTTAGCTTTCCAGCCTGACCCTGCTAACAACATACCAACAGACTTAAATGTTGCTGTATCTTTCTAGGCAATTTTCACCAGCTGAGTACATGTGGCTTCTTTGAGGCTTTCCCCCACCCCATGTGGCCTGTTATTTAAGTAGGCCCCATGAATCTGCCCAGGAGAGGCACACTCTTTTCAGACAATCCATATTTTTTCCTCCCCATTCACCCTGACCTCATTTCTGAGGTGCCTTTTTTTTTTCCTCCTCCCTCATCTTGGATAACTTAGAGAAGTTTTAAGAAGAGAGATTTTTGGGCAACATTTATAAAATGAGCCTTAAATTCCATACACATTGAAGTAACAGGGGAGCTTTCTTATTAAAGAGAGAGATGTTCTGGTTTGTCGGCAGGAAAAAGAGCTGGAGGGCTTCCTTATGATCCCAGCAAAGATTCCTTGAAAGTGCAGCTTTTGGTTGAAAGGATGGTGGGGTGGATGAGCATCGAGGCGGGTTACACCTTGACCCTGTGCCCTCTGACCCTTCCTTCGCTGGTCCTTTTGGACCCGGGGCCTGCTTTTTTCTCAGTTTATCAGATGGACAGGCTTCCCTGGTGGCTTAGATGGTAAAGAATCTGCCTGAATGTGGGAGACCTGGGTTTGACCCCTGGGTTGGGAAGATTCCCTGGAGAAGGAAATGGCAACCCACTCCAGTATTCTTCCCGGGATAATCCCACAGACAGAGGAGCCTGGTGGGCTGCAGTCCATAGGGTCACACAGAGTGAGACACAATTGAGCGACTTTCACTTCACTTCAGATGAAGTGATGGGAGCGGCTTGTCCCCTTGGAGCCTGTGCTCCACACTCATGGGGATCACAGGGGACCTGGCTTCAGGTTTTACAGGCTAGCCAGGTATCTTAGTCTGCCTAGGCTGCTATCACAGACACTAGACTGGGCAGCTCAGAAACAGCACATATGCATTTCTCACCATCCCAGGAAGCATGTAAGTCAAGATCAAGGCAGAATCAGTGTCCTGGGTTGGGGAGGCACTTCCTGGTTCGCAGATGGTGCCTTCCCCTTGTAACCTCACATGGCAGGAAGGGGAGGAGCTTTCTAGGGTCTCTTTAATAAGGCCACTAATCCCATTCATGTGGGCTCCACCCTCATGACCTGATCACCTCCCAGAGGCCCCATCTCCTAATACCACACCTGGGGAGGTAAGGACTTGAACATGGGAATTCGGTAGGGTACACCAACATTTGGACTATAGCCCTAAAGAGGTAAGCGAGTGGCCATTTTGCCTTGTGTAAAGCAAGGAAACCAAGGGAAAGGAGTAGCTAATTCTAATGAGGGGTGTCAGAGTAAGCTCTAGGGAGGAGTTGGCCCTCGAGTGGGGTCTTCCAGGAATGGCATTCTGGATGCAGGAGCAGCCTGGAAGCAGCAGGGCCTTGCTGTCTGTCTTGATTTGGGTTTCTGCAAACTGACCCAAGTCAAGGTTTCGAGAGCAAGTAGCTAATCTGGGAGGAGATCTGGGAGCTGGGCGAGGTGGCTGCTACTGCCCTGGAATCTCACCTCCTTCCTCTCCAAGTCCACGGGGATCCCAGCTGCAGTCCTGTGCTGACCAAGCAGGGCATCCCCTGGACGTCAGTGGGTGATGCTTTTAAATGTAGTGGACCCTGGACTGCCAAAAGGTCAAGGGGCTGGAAAACGACTCTGGGCAGCCAGTGCAACTTTGGTTCACACCAGAGGTTCTCGGACTTTATGAGGAATCACATTTACCTGGAGTTGGGTGTTGGCTTCTCCACCAGGGTTCC